TTAAAGTTAGGTGTCAATACATATCTATTACAAATGGTCAAAAATCCAGAACACTGACATCATCAAATGCTGGCAAAAACATGGAGCAACAGAAACTCTCATTCACCGCTGGAGGGAATGCAATATGGTAAAGCCGCTTTGGAGGATGGTGTGGCATTTTCGTCTAAAACTAATTATACTCTTATCATACAATCAGTATTGCGCTCCTTGGTATTTACCCAAAGTTAGTGAAAATTTATGTCCACACAAAAACACGTAGACGTATAGCTGAAAACGTGCTCGCTTCGGCAGCACATATACTAAAATTGTATAGCTGAAACCTATTGGATTGCATTAACCAATGTCACCATAAGAATAATTAATTAATTTAAATAAATAAATAAAAATAAAAACCTGCAGATAGACGTTTATAACAACTTTATTAACTGCCAGTACTAGGAAGTAATCAAGAAGCAACAGTCCATAGGTGAATGGATAAACTGTGGCACATCCGGACAATGGAATAAAATTAGCATTAAAAACAAATGAGTTCTCAAATCATGAAAACACATATTGGAATCCTGAATGTATATTACTTAGTGAAACAAGCCAATCTGAGAAGTGTACATAATATATGATTATGATTTCAAGTATATGACATGTGGAAACAGCCAAACTATCGAGACAGTAAAAGGATCGGTGTTTGCCAGTGTTTGGGTAGGAGAGGGCTAAATGGGAAGAGCACACTTGGGTTAATGACAGACCACATATTTGATGGTGGTCCCCAAAAACTACAATGAGGCTAAAAACATCCTATTGCTGAAGGACATTGCAGCTATCACTGTTATACTGCAATGCATTACTCATGCGTTAGTTGTGATGCTAGTGTAAACAAACCTACTGTGCTGCCCATCATCTAAAAGTACAGCATAATTATACGACACTTGACACTGATACTAAATGACCGTTGCTGGTTTTTGTATTTACTATACTATGTTTTCGTCATTGTTCTTTAATTTTTAAAAGACCTTTAGCCAGGGGAGGGAGGGAGCAATTGGGGCAATCGTTTTATGAACAATATAGATGTCTAACCAATGTATTATATACTTGAAACTAATTGAAATAAATAAATGTATTTTAAAAAAAGATAGACATTTATACCATCCGTGAAGTGATCCTTGATTGTTCTAGCACCCATGTGACACAATCGTTACAATAATATTGTCTGTATTCCCCATGCTATACTCTAAATCCCCATGATTGTTTTGTAACTACTAATTTGTATTTCTTCATCCCTTCAACTATTCACCCAGCTCCCAACTTCTCTCCCCTCTGGTAATCACCAGTTTGTTTTCTGTATCTGTGAGTCTGTTTTCATTTATAGTTTGTTAGTTTTTTATGTTCCTTAGATTCCCCATGTAAGTGAAATCATATAGTATTTATCTTTCTCCTTCTGATTTATTCCACTCGGCATGATACCCTCTAGGTCCATCTATGTCATTGCAAACGGTTAGATTTCATTGTTTTTAATGACCGAGTAATATTCCATTGTATATATACCAAACTTCGTCTATTGATGAGCACTTAGGTTACTCCATATCTTGGCCATTGTGAATAGTGCTGCTATGAACATAGGGATGCAAGGATCATAACGAACTAGTGTTTGGTTGTTTTTTTGTTTTTTTCCTTTGGATTAACACCCAGTTCAATTATTGCATAAAAAGTTAGTTCTATTTTTAATTTTTCAGGGAACCTCCAAACTGTACCAATTTACAATCCCACCGACAGTGTATGAGGGAGGATTCCCTTTTCTCCACATCTTTGCCAACATTTGTTGTATTTGATTTATTGATGATGGCCATTCTCACGGGTGTGAAGCGATATCTCATTGTGGTTTTCATTTTCATTTCTCTGATGATTAGTTACTTTGAGTATCTTTCCATATGTCTATTGACCATCTGTATGTCCTCTTTGGAGAAATACCTATTCAGGTCTTATGCCCATTTATTAACTGGATTTTTTATTTTGGGTGTTCAGCTAGAAGAGTTCTTTATAAATTTTGGATACTAACTCCTTGTCAAATGTCTCATAGGCAAATATTTTCTCCTATTCAAGATGCTATCTTTTCATTTTGTTGACAGTTCCTTTGCTGTGCAAAACTTTTTAGTTTGATGTAGTCCCATTTGTTTATTTTTATTTATTTTTTTAATCAAGGAGATACATCAGAAAAAAATTACTAATAGTAATATCAAAAAGTTTTTCTGCCTATGTTTTCTTCTAGAAGTTTTATGGTTTCAGGTCTTACATTTAAGTCTTTAATTCATTATGAGTTTGGGGTTTTTTTCTTTTTCTTTTTCTTGCATATGGTGTAAGAAGATAGTCTAGTTTCATTATTTTGCAAATATCTGTCCAGTTTTCCCAACACCATTTATTGAAGAGAATGTCTTTACCTC